AAAAAAAAAAAAAAAAACAAAAAAACAAAAAACAAAAAAAATGAAGAAAAACAGGTTACTTTTTTTCTGGCGTTTTTCCTTCATTGCATGACACAAAGTGTAGAATTTTATTAAATATTTAAATGAACGCACAAAGAACCTTAGGATTAGTAAGTTCATTTATGCTTTTCTTTACAAATACAATCCTCACAAGCGTTATCATCATCTGCACCTACTTAATCATTTTTTCATCACTTCACAATTTACCATCTGCAGAAAAAAAATCGATTATAAAGCTCTAATGAAATATAAACAGTTTGTTGGGATTTTTTTTTCTTCAGTTTTTTATACTCTTATTTGATTAGTAAGTCGATGAATATTTATGCCCAAAACTCAGAGTAGGAAATCTTGCAAATTTGATTTAGTAAATGTATTTATGGAAAAAAAAGTGTTGAAAGAATGAATTTAAACAAAATTTAGAGTTAACATATCCGCAGCTGTTCCAAGTGTGGGAAGTAATGATGGCAGCATCACACTTGATAACATCACATTTTCAACTGTTCTTTGCGCTCGCAATTGTTAGCACCTATCGACATATAATCATCGACAATCATATGGATTATGCAGATGTTATAAAATTTTTTAATGGTACCTATAAAAGTTGAAAATAAGCTTATTTTTTTCTATAATTTTTTGACTAAAAGTAATTCTTTTAAACATAAATCATCGATATCAGTTACTGTTGTTATTGCCGTTGGTAGCGCACAGTAAAAGCTACAAGAACAATGGCAATAACTGTTAGCGTAACAAAACGTTGCTTGCTATTACTAATTAAAATCATTTTTCAAATGTACATACAGTTTCAGCTTCAACAATCATGAATTATTTGTTACAGAAATGGCTGAACGATACGATGCTCAAGAACTGTTGGAAACAGCAAAAAATCATTTGGGACATTTACAGGCAATTGTATTGGAACTAAAACAAAAGATCAATCATTGAAACAATTAAAGTGATTAATTACTGTCTGGTTTGATTCCTTAAAAATTGGACACTGTTTTTTTTTTCCACTTTTCTATATTAATTTCTTTTTTTGATGCTTTCATCATTGGAAAAAAGTTTATAAAGTGGTATTAAATTTTTTACTCAATGCTTTTGGGAGGAAAAAAATCAAGTAGAAACTTTTTGAAATAAGACTTTGTGCAAAATTTGTATGACACTAAAAATTTGTTATTTTTAAAGGGTCATCAGTGCTTTTCTTTTGATCATATAGGTTGACTTGCTTGATCAACTGGATAGACATTTTAGAAAACTAAAAAAACCTTTATCAACATCAGAAAAAATTAATTTTTTTAAAGTATTTGAACTATGAGTTATGTTTTTAGTTTATATTTTATCTACTTATATTGTAAGGGAATTTTTTTATAACATCAGTTTTTTTCTTGCGCCAACCTAAATAGTCTAAATATGATTAAAAAATTTATATTTTATCATCGAAGAAAATTTTTTCACATTTTATAGTTCATTGTTAATGGTGATTGTGTTACAAAGCCCTACAGTCTAACAATGTTCAGTTTTATTTTGGTTGACTATTTACAAGGATTTAGGGATACGCTTTTTTTGATGTTTTTTGAAGAAGATGAAGCGAATCACATTGCTTTATCGGAGGATGAAGGGAAAGGAGGCAAAGGGGATAAAATGATCGGCCAAAAAGAACTGGATAATGTTCTTGTTATTCTAGTTTCTTTACTTCGATTATCAGTCAACCAAAAAATAACTGAAAAAAAAAAAAAAGAACAGAACTTAACACATATCTGTATGCTAAGATTAATCTATTTGATTCCTCTTTTTTTTCACTGTACCTCTTGCTTGTTTCCAGAACAAATTATTGTTTTCAAATATGGCTGTGTATTTTTTGTTGACGTCAAACTTCTAATACATCTGTAACCGCTGACTTTCTGCTTGTTTGAAGAACTGTTGTTGGGTTTCAAATCTATATCATCATATATACCTTTTCAACTGACATTCTGTTATATCTGTTATTTCTGATTGTATTATTTCGACTTCTTTCACTGTATATTCATTTGTTCTTTGTATTCAGTTTCTTCTATTTTGCTGTGTCTCAGTTTGATTTACTTAGGATAAGAAAAACCTAAATAAATCACTAAAGTCTTTTTTCCGTATTGCTTTAGCTATATTTTTATTTTTCAAACATTGTTTAACCAAGTGTTGATCTCATTACAAAAAAATGAAAAAAGAGAAAAACGAAGACAATTCTTTTTTCTGCTGTTTTTTCTTTAATTTTACAGATATTAGCAAATCATTTATTCAGATGGCTTGTCAAAAACTTATTTAACAGACGGTAGTATATTGAGATAATTCGTCTTTTCTTATAATTTTTATTTTCTACGTAAGTATTACATTTTTTGCTTCATTTAAAATGTGTTTGAACACTCAGACTTAAACAACAGCACTAAAGCTGTTTATTTGCAGTCAGATTTATCCATTTCCTGTATTTCATTTCTGTAAATTTCTCTTCGGTACTTATGTGATACTGTTGAAATTTCCGATAAACAAGAACAGAAGCGGAAAATTTCTTTTGTTTTTTTCCTTACTATTTATTTATGAACTTTTTCCTTTGATTTTTCTGATCTCTTCAAAGAAATATAATTTGTATTTTTTCTTTTGTTCAAAGATTGAGAATGTCTTTTTTTCTGCTTTACGAACGTTTAACCAATATTATCACCTATCGTTTATGGTCACTACAGCGGGCGTATATATATCAGGTCAAAATACATCAAACCAATGCTTAGATATATATATGTTAAATATATTCGTGTATTTGTGCTTAACAACAAAATTCTAAACTGTTTTTAATTCTATTGTAGGGCAGCAGAAATTTTTTTTTTTTTTTTTTTTTTTTTTTTTTT